CTAATCAAGTCAAATCCTCCGCATCTGCTTATATCCCCCCCCCCGCCCCCACCTCGTTATTAGCATGATTGCTTCCAGTGACGCTGCACCTCCAGGTAGCTTTTAGAATTATTGATAAACGTGTGTATATATAGAGATATATTTATTTTCTATGGGTAATACTTCCCACTTGATTGCAAGGAAAAGTGAGAGCAATAACAACATTACACAAAAGTACGTTTCCGTTTCCGATGGCCTTTCTCTGGCTTGCTGGCATTCTCTCCCTCGGGGTTTTGGGAAACTCTACAATTAATAAGTTAAAGAGTTTGTACATAAATATTTGTCTAGGGCCCCTATAATATCTACAACACAGAAAAAAAGTCTACAGAAATGACAAACTTGTACAAACACTACACTGAGTGCAATTATTATATAACATTTCAAATATACAAAGCTCTGGATTTTTTCTTTTTCGTATTTTTTTAATAACAATGGTATGTACAGTATCGAGCATCACAGTATAGTGACTTTTAAACAGTCCATATGCTAGCGTTATATTTCCCTTTGGTTTACTATAAAACCCTTGGTTGATGTGATCGGTGGACAAAGAGACCAGACCCACCCCTCCCCAAGTGCTCTACTTGGCTTTGACCCAGCCTTGGCCCTGTCAGCAAGCATCTGCGGTTGACGGTCCTTTTCTGGGCTGGTGAGCACGGCCCAAGCGAAGAGCGCAGCCTGGCCTGCACCGCCCTTCTTTTTCTTAACAACCTCACCGACCTGCCTGTCTTCTCTCGAGCCTCCCGCAACGCGGGCAGGTGCATTGCTGACCAAGTCGCCGATCTAGCGTGGAAAAAACTGCCGGCCGAGGAGGGGTTGGCTCCTGCGGATTGGCCCAAGGGAAGCCGCAGAAGTGGCGCCTCCCCGCCGCCTGTCCCCCTCCAGAAAGTGTGTGTCCGCTGCCTTCCCTCCCGTTTTGGTCTTGGATTCGTGCCTCTGCCGATTCGCCCACCAACCCCCTGGGAGCGACTTAGCACACCTCTTTGCCCGCGCTGTTCCCCGGGAGGATGTTGAGCTGCGTGAGCTGCGCCGCGTGCTCCTTGGCTTTCAGGCGTAGCGCCGCAATGCTGGAGGCGCGCCGGTCCGCTGCCGCGGTGGCCGGGTCAGAGAGGCCGCTCGATTGCACGGCGTTGTCCACGGCAGGGGCTGGCTGTCGCAGCAGGGCGGCTGCAGTGGAAGCGCTAGTCAGCGGGGCCATGGTGGAAAAGAGCCTGCAAGCAAAGGAGACACGGGACAGTCAATCTTAAGATGGCAGAAAGTCCCGCAGTTCCTTTTATGGTGGCAAGAGTGGGGCTGCCATTTCACTTTCAGTTTTATTTTCTTTGCAGGACGGACTGCTTTTCCGGGCTCCAGAGTCGGGAAGGCGACAAGTTGACAATCTGCAGCTGAAGGAGTCAGTTGCGGGAGAGTGAGGAAGTCTCTTTTTGCGCCCGCTTTCCCGCCTCCTCCCGGGCCTGTCCCGCATTTCCTCTCCTGTCTGTCCCCCTGCTCGCTTCTGACGGGACAGCCTTCGCGGGCCCTTCTGAAGCCGAGAGTTGGGGGAGGAGGCCTGGGAAAGAGGGAAACTGAAAAACCCCGATGCCGGCAGGAAGAGCGTCGCGTTTATTGATTGGTGCGTTGCCCGTTTGTTGGTGACAGAAGCTCGCTCCAAGAAACGAGCAATCGGTCGAAACTGGGAGGCGAGGAGGTAAGAGTCGGCTGCCTCAGCTCTTCTCGCCCCTTCCCTCCAACCTACAACTGCGGCTCGACTGGCTTTTGACAGTTCTTATCTGGTCTGCCGAACCCGCGTTCTCCACCATCAATCCCGGCTTCGGTCCCTTGGCTCCCCCCACTCCCCGCCGCCCCGTCTTATGAGAAGCTCCCCGGCGCCCGGATGCCCAAAGCGGCGCCCGCCTCTCGGCTTCGCTGCCGCCCAGATCCCCCTCCCCAGCGGGGAGTGCCGTTCTAGCGGATTGCCTCACAGCGGAACTCCAATTACGCTCCGGCAACCCTTAGCAATGACACAATCTGCGACATGCTTTCCCTGCTCCTTTTTCCGCCCGCGGCTCTCCTGGCGCTGTTCAGCTGACCCTCTTTGACCGGCACGTCGAGAGACACGGGCTCTCCATTAACCAAGGAGGTGATTACTGACATCAGCGCGGCGAGGAATTGAACTGCGGGCCCGAAGGCAACGGGAGGGACCAACTAAGACCCAAACTGGCTAGGCACTGGGACGGGCTGCCGGGGCTGGCGCCTGGCTTCCGTCTGGAGTGGTTTCTCTGTCCCCCAGCCCGCTCGTCCCGCTCAGTGAAATGTTTTACGCAGTTCAACGCAGGGGTGACAGCCGTGCTCTGGCTAGGCTAGACTTTTGTAGCTTTTCGCTGGAAAAAGAGAGGCCGGGAGCAATGCGGGGGGGGGGGGGGGGGGTGTAGATCTGCAATATCAGTCTTCCTCAACTCCCTCGTGGTTTGCAATATTGGCAGTTTTAGTCCCGCCACCTCTGGAGGATGGGGGAGTTGGGAGGTGTAGTAGTTAGAAACCGGAGCCGCTTCAAATCGCCCAAATGCCTTCCTAAAAATGTTGCTTGTTAAGAGCAAAGGGGAATATCGTTCAAGGGGATGAGAGGCTTTCTCTCCCTGCCCGCCCCCCCCCCCCCCCCTCCCCCCCCCCCCCCCCTCCTCCCTTCCTTCTTTCTTAAATAACT